AAATGGGCGGCGCTCACAGGGAGTGGATGGGTGAGCCGTCGTGGCCCTTCATCATCCACTGTACGCGTCAGTGCACCTTGGGCTGCCGTTCCTCCGGCATTTGCATGTTGGGCGTTCATAAATAAACCGGTTGTCTTCCGTGTACATGAGTGTGAACACGGTAGCGGCTGATTGCAACCCGCGCTTCACCGCAGGCACCTGAGCCGTGGTTGCCCCTTCAGGTTAACCACGGCACGACAGCGGCGTCAAGTCCGGCCCCAGATCAGATTTGCTGGTGATAAAAAACGCAAGCGGCTTGTCACACACGCGGCCTGACTCGTCCAGGCGCTTCCTGTGCTTGTCTGGGCTGAGTGCGTATTGTTTAGGAAGCGTGACTGCAGTTGCTATTTTGATTGGTCATTATGTTACATTATATCATTACTATCGAGCTTGTATTGTGCATAGACATCTTGGTTCCATGCGGAGTCTATTTGTATCAGGTAATATTCTGATATAGTATTTGACATTAGGCTCATTTGACGCGTTGACACGCGTTCGCTCATGATTCGGAGGACAACACGCCCCTCATGTCACACGCGCCTGGATGTAGGTCGACTTAGCAAGGACACTCGTCCTGATTACCCGGAGGAGCCGCATGGCGGCCGTCTAGCTGCTGGTCCATGACACGGCCAATTTACCTCCAGGCTCCAATTACAACGCCGTGTAGCAATCATCCCGGCCGGGTAATAAAATGCACGTCCACTTATGAGGTAATGGCGGAATCAAAAGTTGAATGGCCCTGGTTCCGGAATTAATGACTGGAATTATAAGGAACGAGCGACTGCTAAGTAGACTGCGGTTTGTGGTGTCGGTGACGGCGGCGTCGCATTCACGACGAAATGGACGCGTTTGCGCCAAAAACGCCGCGTGGCTGTAGGCTTGCGGCTTTCCTTCGAGTGGCAGACGAACAGCTGCCACAATAGGCACTGGCGCTGGGAGTATAGTAGCGGCGCACCGATCATTTCTAACGATAGTCAGATCTTCCCAAAGATGGATGACGTTCGTGACGTGCACATGCGCACTGACTCGTGCACTGGGCATTGCGACGAAATCCGTTCTAAAATTGAGGATGGCGGCCGGCGAACAGCGCTAAATTACATGCTATCGGCCCATATATCAGTGTGGTGTTAGCGTAATGGACTAACGATGTATCTTCACGACATTCTCACGACGATCTTGCTTTGGAGCTAACTACGGGGCTGGGCGTCGGACTGCGAAAATTTGTCCGTGATTTATTTGTGTGTGAACCTCGTGCGGGAGATTTCGCAAGAGTTCAATTGGATGCATTCCGTTCTCATGTTGTGGGCGCGTGGCGTCGCCGGATGTCTTCATGTCAGTAATGCTGTGATACTTTCTGGGAGGTGCGGCTACATGTGACGTGGTAACAGAGCCTAGAAACTGCTTCGAACGGCGTTTACTCGTCATAATCAAACCCTCGGTGCCCGCCATTCCTGCCAGGGAGAGAGGCAGGCGGCGCCACTTGGCCTCAGCAGCTGAGTGCGTCGTAAAAGCCCCAATGACATAACATGACGTCATAATCAAATTTACAAATGGCATGCGGTGCCGTCCGCACGCTTAAAAAAAAATGTTAGCAAGCATGGCCTGAGACGCCTTGTTTCCCTTTATTTTGTCATATCTGTCATCATCTACGTTTAGTCGTTGGCCTTTTGTTCTCTTTTGTCGCTGAGCCTTTGCCTTTTATCCTATCAGCCTTTTTAAATCTAATTTCCTCTTTCACGGTTCCTCGTAAGCCCGAAGCATAAACAGCAGAGGATGCAATAGATTGTCCGCAGCTTTGTTCTCTGCAGAGACAATCAGGTAATGGGTTTCCGCAGACAATAACCCAAGCGATGCGCCAGTCTTCTGAAAGCATTGTGCACAAATGCGAGTAAGTGTGTGTAAAACCATCTCATCCTTTCGGAAATTCTTGGATCCTGGCAGTACATGGCTAATGTTACGAAAGGTTTTCCATCAGATATTGGCTGCATGACGTCTGCACAGAATGCAGATGCTTTAATTACGGCACTTCTGGGAAAATTAATCCAATTAGAAACCGCATGCCATTTCGATGGGAGGATTAAACAGACACTGCTAACCCAGGCGTATCGTTGCATTGGTTTCGCGATGAGCTCGCCAGAGACGTAGCCAGGGGTTTGTTAGGGGGGGGGGGGGGGGCTGGAGCTCAGTGAGAAATCATAACGCCGACTTCAGCTGTCTGTCAGGGATCATCTATATCAAAAAAGGAAAAATGCGTGCCTGGGGGGGGCAGTGTTTCCCCTAGCTGCGTCTATGATACTTCCTGTCCATCACACAGAGCGGGTTGCACCGTCTGGCGGTTATCTTATCATCTTGAGTAATCGGGAATTGAGAGCAATATTTTAAGTGCATCTTAACTCGACCTTGTTGAAGATATGCACCTTCTTCAGTGTTGTTGCCTGATATTCATATAAAACGTAAGGACATATTCCTCCCAAGTCCTCTCCAGGCAAGAAATGGTAAACCAGCGCTTTCTTGTTTTTGACTTTCGGACCTTGTCACGTGGTTTTTCTTGCTGCTGTATACTTGAATTATTCGTTGTAAATTCATACTTTCATACGTGTATCTAAGGGTACTGTAACGGTGTGTATATATTTACTGTTACGATATGTGCACGACTTGCACTCTGGGCGTGTTGCATTTTAGCGATTCCTGACAACGACTGGTTGCACGACTCGTTTGGTTTCCTTGACTTGTCAGCACTGCTGTACATAACTTATCGCAAAGGTGCTTTGGGCAGATGTTAATGAAGGATGGTACAACAATGCTTCTGTTTTCGCTGTCGTTAACGACGAACATCTCATCACAGTCCTGTTCTGGAACGTTTCGAGGTGTGGGTGTTAACAAGCAACAACCAACAAGTAATGCAACATGGTCAGACGGCATACGTTCACATGCATGATTTTTTAAATTTTCGTATGAAGATTTAATCCGAACCTTTTCGAATGGATGGAGTTCTGGCATCAGAGCTTAGATGGTTTCATTTTTTAATCAATTTTCTCATCTTCGGCGTCATGTCAGATTTCCAGATATTTTGGAAAATGCAGAGACCTCACAGATAACGATGTAGTAGAAATCTCAGACTCGATCGACAGATCCGGATTCAAGGCCTGGCCACGTCGGCAGACCGCAAGCTTTCCAACTTGTTGCAACTCCTCACAAGCCCAACTCAAGCGGCAAACTCGACTCTATCGGAGACTTCGGCCGAGCTGGACACCGCTACATCTAGCCGTATTGACTCGACCCTGCTAGGCCGAGCCGCCGGCGTTCCGCATCACATGCCAGCGAACCACGTTGCCCGCGGCTGGAGTGGATTGACACGGCACACTTAACTTCCATACCGTGGGATGAATGCTGAGGACTGAAAACCGACAGCGGCGTGTTTCAAATGTTTGCGAGAACCGGCTAACTGGTTATGTTTACCATAGCTTGGTGCACAAACATGCTCATGCATGAGCGATGTTTCCTAAACGGAAGCCCTGGACATGCTAACATCGCGAGATATTGAGCAAACATGCTATGCAAAGGCAGAGCTATCGGTTTGTTAGGTCCAAACACAGCTGCGGCCGGTTTCAGATGGAAGTAAGCGTGAGCTGACGTTTAAAATGGTCATGAGGCAGCACTTTGGCTGCTCTGGAGCCTGCTCAGCCTGCTTTTACACCGATCAGATGACGGCGTCTCGAGATGTGCACAACTAAAACAACCCAGGTAGCCAGTGCGTTTGTCCATTTTCCCCTCCCCCCCCCCCCCCTGAGACACGCAAGGACGAAAACATTAATTGTGCTCAAACGCATTCAACTAAAGCGCATTTAAAAATCGTTTTGTTTAGCTATTCCCCAACACAAGCCTCTAGCGAAGTGCACCAACACTTGCGAAGGGATACGGTGCACATATATCAACGATATAGATGTAAACAATGACTTAAACACTGCCCGGCCCAACAGTCCAAAGATAACCTTACATCATGGAATAGCTTGCTTCGGTTATTACCCATTACTATATCGGACTTCTTGTGACAAGCAGGTAACGCGTTTAATGACTTTCTAGCTCTCTCTGCAATTGGGTCACCAACGACTGCTGCGTGTGCACCTTTACGAACGCAGAACGTGTGTTACATCGCACGCGCAATAAAGAAAGTAACTACCAACATGCGCGTTATCAACAACACTGCCATGCATCATAAATCCAAATTTATGTTCACCCGGCCTCAGTAAAAGCGCAGCATTTCTTGATTGGTTGATTCATAAGTACCTCATTTATTCTTGATAATGTTTCTTTGGGCCACAGGAGATCAAATATGTGAGCCCTTACTGAATACGCGCCCAACTTCGACAATGGTGAGCAGTGTGTGCATATCAGCTGTGCCGCGAGCTCGGTTGCAAACATTTCACACCGCATTCCGAAGGACCTCGTCTCCAAACGAGCACAAACCGGAGCAGCTGTGGTGTTTTTCTCATAATCAGTTACGTTATTTTGAGTTAGTTGTGCAAGCCCATTAATTTTTGCACGAGACCTCGACCTCCCGGTTTTTGCGGTACAAATAAAAAACATTCTTTGACGCAGACGCATGCTGATTGTCGCCTTTAAATAAACCATAAGCAACCGAGCAACGTTCATGATTCAAAAGCTACTTTGAAAAGTATCAACCGACAGTTAACTGGTGCTCTCTGACTTTTCTTTTTTTGCAACGTGCATAGCAAATTATTTTTCCGGTTGTCCGCATTGCCGACTCAGCCTGCGCCTTCGCCAGCCTCCAACAGGTCCCCTAAGCCAACTCAAAGCACCCAGACAACACTTCCACCTCGTCGAACTCCGCCCGAACGCGGCGTGCCCAGGGACGGTCAGTGCGCATGCGCAGACCGCGGCGCGCGGCCGGCCGCCGCCGCCCAGCTGTTCCAGCGCCAGTTGCTCGCGTGCGGCGGTGGGGGGTGCGCGTGACGGCGCGGGAGCAGCGTAGACTCTCAGGCTGCGGGCGTCGGTGTGACGAGGTTGTGACGAGGTCCGGAACCGGAGCTAGTGGTTGTGGACCCTGGCCGATCGAGATACAGTGGCGGTTGTATCTCCGACTGCACCCCGGCCGGGACTCGTTTTATGGGTAAGTTGAAGCACGTGCACGCCATCGTGGCGTTAAAAAATGCGTTTGGAGCCGAAAACGCTGACCGAAGCACAGACAGAAATAACCCAAACGCAGGCAGAAACGACCGGAACACAGGCGGAAATAACCGAAACACAGACCACCAGCTTAGCGCGCATCCGTAGACACGAACCGATTTTCGACTGCGATGCTGCGGGTGCAGTTATTAAGTTGGCGCCTTCCGATTTCGAATGTCATGATTCTGTGCGTTTCAGTTTGCTCCCGTCAGCCTGATATCGGTCACGTTAGTATAACATTTTAAGTTCTTTGGAGTCGAGCTTTGCGGTAAGAGCTGTATCTTGGACTGAAAGGGCGGCCCCTAATGCCTCGCACACGCCGAGGCGATTTAGCTTCCACCTTATTGTTTTCGCCATCGCGTTCACTCTTTTAATTAAATTCTTTCGACCCCAGTTAATTTTATTTTTCGTCCAGCCCGTTCTGCCTTGAAGCATCCGCTTTCATCGGTATCTCTGGAAAGAGCGCGGGGAAGCCGCGAAACCGCGGCAGCGCCGGCCGTCCGCGAGACGAAACATCAAACACAAAAGACCAAGTCACCCTGGGCGCATCCCACGTCTTCCGTTCACATCTGTTTGTACGCGAGCGGGCGGTCTCTCCCATATCGCGCGTTGTTGACCTGCCACTCTCCGTGACTGGAGGAGCGTTTGAACAAGTCGGCACGCGCTGCCGACCGTTAGCGCACACGGCGGTGGTTCGCGTGCCATGCTGGATACACGGGAGAGACTAGCCGCATACCATTCTGTTCAGGGCACGTGACTAAGTTTGCATGCCTGTAGTATGTAAGACAGCAGAAGTTATCGAAGCGTTGTCGCAATGAACCAGCTACGCAAGCTGCTGGCTGCAGCGGGGTCGTATTATCAAATATTTCGTTGGACTGTACATATAGTTAATCATGGTGATAAAGGACATTGTTTACGGAGTTCTAGACTTCATTCAAGCATGGAGCAAGACAATTCAGCGACCAAACTGCAGTTTTGCAGCGCAGCATCAAAACAATTATAAACATAAAAGTGAAAAATGAATAAAATATGCATCCACTTAAAACGTTTTTAACGGCATTATACGACGCATACAGTACATTGCTATACATTTTAGTTAAATTAATAAAGTCACGCTCAATCACTAAGCTTCCCGACGCCGCCGCAGCCAACACTTGAGAAAAAATAATGCTGCGCACGTCCATCGAATTCATCTCAGTCTTTCAGACGAAAGGGACGACATTATTTTGACCGTTCTGATCATTCATGGCGTCTCGCTCTCCGTCTGTTGGCGCATTGCAGTCGCCACCTTGGATTCGCCTCGCTTTCCCGTCACCTCTCGCCGCCATGCACCGCCGCGGGGCGCACTTACAACACCCACACCGCCCTGGGCGAGCGTCACCTGCTCCGCGCCTCCAGCGAACGACACCACCAACGCGAGGCAATCAATGCTGGCTGCTAGCCGTCGGCTGTCCTCAGCGAGCGCCGGCGGCTGCGCGTCCACCATCGCCAGAGCTGCTGTCCATCGTCGCGAGACCTGCGGTCCACCATCGCCAGAGCTGCTGTCCATCCTCGCCAGAACTGCGGTCCACCATTGCCAGAGCTGCGGTCCACCATTGCCAGAACTGCGGTCCACCATTGCCCACCGGTTGCTGGGCGGCTGTCCACCGTGCCTGGGTTACTGTGCACCTGCAGGGAACTCGACCATTCAGAAGCAGCGATCCACCGTCCACTCACAGAAACCCACCGTCCACGCACAGCGAGCCTTCGTCAACTAACAGCGAACCTCCGTCCACTGACAGGAGAGACACCATCCACCAACGGCGAACCACAGTACACTAACAGGAAGCCACCGTCCACCTCGAGAGCTCCTCTCCGTCGCGCGTCGCGTGCTGGAAGCATTCAGGCAACCTGACCAAACAACGCTTCCTCAAGTGCCCCCCATTAGCCCGCTGTGTACACCGCCGGCCGCCACACGATGTAACGACACGGCCGCCTCCTGTCCCCCAACGTCCGTCAGCGGCGGACCCATCCATAGCGCCTCGCGTGCGACGGCCTGTCACCTCGCGCACGGCATGCCGCATGCGGCCTTCACACGCTCCGCGTTTGTGCATCGCTGGGTGCACAGTGGCGTGCGAGCGATGCGATCGCAGGCTGAGGCTGCAACTGGTGTTGGCCGAGGTGCTGGCTGAGGCTGCGCCAAGGTTGTCGACGGGTGTTGTGAAAAATAGGGCGACGGCTTACGGCGCACGGCAGGAATTTCGCGTCCAGATACGGTCGCGGAGTTTACGAGTAGGCGGTTTATCGGTGACGGCCGCTTGGCGAGGCCATCCTGGTGGATGGTAAGGCTCCAAGACACGGCCGGTGCGTCGAGATGCTGGCGAGGCGTTCACGGGTAGGCGGCTTGTCAGCGTCATTGCCAGTAGTGACGCTAGTGCGGTCTCGTCCTTCCGCCTGATCGCGTCCAGGTCACCACACCGGCAGAAGCGCTCGGCCGCGTCCGCCGAACCAGCTGCATCCGCATGTCTCCGCTAGATGGCTCCGTCGATAGCGTCGACCGCGGCGTAAGTGCAGCTAATTAGTCGGCGAACCGCCCGAAAAAGCAGCAAATTACAGCCATTATCTCCACATCGGTAGTGGCGGTAATGGGCAGCGCATGTATCAGAACTGGTTCGACGCCGACACGGCCGCGTTCGCCGGGTCTGATCTTCACGGTTCGCTTCGGTGTTTACACACGCGCCATCAAAGAGTCGTTAGCGGTTGGACGGTGGTGGCTCACGTGACGGTAAACGGGTCCGATATCAGCCCGAGTCGCCTTGACACTGTATCGCCCACGAACTGACGGGCTGGAAGGCGGAGTTCTCGAGTTGTGCTCAATCTCAGCTGTCATCGCGGATTTCGACGCACTTCTTTAAGCGCATGTTTTTGCGACGACGAGTTTGTCTGTCGCGAACTCCGAGACCGCAATCATCAGCAGCGGCTTCAGAGCCGGTACTACCATTTTCGCAAACACACACGCACACATACGCCTGATTGACTTGTCTGAGCCTTCAGCGGGCAGCAGTTTGCGCAGGGTGTGACCTCTGTGACGCGCAGTGACCTCTGCTGAATACAGCGCTAGTCACCCACCCATCGCCAGCCGCCATTGCATATGTCGCCTTTTGTAGGCCTGCGGCGGTGCTGGCGGTAGCGATACTCCGCGTCTCGTCTACGGGGTGAAACGAAATCCCCGTTGCCCCTGGCCTCCCGTCCAACTCCCCTCGCACCTGACCGGCGACGGCCCCCATAATTCCGCGCACAAAAGGCCAGCCCCACAAAAACACACAGGTTATCCCAGTCCCGGGGAGAATGGGTGATTATCGGCCATGGGCGCACGGGCGGCGTCAGAGTCGCTCGGCAGGTGGAGCTCCACAGACCCCGGACAAGGTCTGACGTGATGGAATTTACTCTGCGTTGAAACTCTCACAGTAGTCACGTTTTCCCCACGGGCAGTGAGTGCTCAGCGCTGAAAATCGCGCTCAGCTGTTGAGGTGAAGGGACTGACAGATGAAAAGCATCGCCTGGCTGCGCCCGTGTCGCCCAGGACCCCTCGCTGAAAGGCTCCGTTTCGACCGCCCCGGACCGCGCACCTGTGCGATGTGTATGCACCACACGCCTCCGTCGCGCCGCCAGCCGACGCGAGCCGGGGCATCCGCCAGCCGCTCTCCCAGAGCGCGCAGCGTCGCCGCGCGGCGGCGCGTCACAATGCGTCGCGCGTCAAAACGCCGCCGCTCGCCGGCTGCGCCAGGGGAGTGCGCTCGGCGCGGTGCGATTTGTCCGCCGTTGGGCCGGGCTGTAATTGAAGACGCGGTGCGGGGTCGCTGTGTACCCGCCGCCGCTGGGATCCGCTGCCGAACCAGCGGGGAGCGGGGCCAGTTATTGGAGAGGCTCTGGTTCGGAGGGGTGGCTGCCGGCGCCGCCTGGTTTGATGGTGTTCGGCCCCTGATGAAATTGCATCGAACGCCTGCTGGAGTTGGAAGGAGTTGTCCGGAACCCGAGCGTGGCGAGTGGAGTGTTGCTCTGCTTTCATCCTGTCATCTCATCAAACAGCTGATGCTGAATCGATGCCAGGTTTAAAGCTCCTTTATTCTCCTTGATTGGATCTTGATAAGTGTCTATTCATCACTGCCAGTCTATCTCAACCCAGAAAACTATGTCGGGACTTTGCGCCGAGTGGGACCAAATGATCTAGAGCCTCGAATGGCTGTCAGGTGAAATTATGGATTTGTCAAAAGGCCGCTGTGATGCGATCAATCCTGCGCTCTCCAAAATCGACTGAACCGCCATGTCAAGGTCTCTGTGCCGCCAGGGAGTCCGAGCATCCGTGCCTGCCCTCCCCCTCCCTCCTCCGCCACCAACACGTGCGGCGCCCTCTCCAGGCCGACAGCGCGCCTCAGTCACAATTAGCCGTAATCCGGGCGCGCTCGACTCGCCTGTTTGCCGGCGACTGTAAATGCAGACCAGCTGCAATGCGACGGCCTTGTTGTGACAGCGCAAATATTGGCCACTTGGAAGCGGACGGCGGCGGCGAGCAGCGGCGCACGGCGCGCACAGCTGCCCGACGAGCCAATAAATCGGACCGAGGCGATACGCCCCCCGGCGAACACGTGTCGGCCGCTTTGTGCCCGCCCGCCCATATGTCGAACGCCTTGCGGAAGTCCAGATCCATCTGTCGAACGCCTTGCGGAAGTCGGCGCACTCAGACCTGCGGGCGACGGTAGGCCATATGTCGAGGGCGCTGAGGACACTGGAGAGATGAGAGGTGTACTTGTAGTTCAGTTGTAGGAGGGTAAGATAGATGTGAGTTATGGAAAGCCGCTGTGGGCAGCATCATTGCTCGGTTTTGGTGTCCACCGCGTGTGTTATTGCATCAGCTGTGGCACGTTTGTGACGTTGTTTACTATTTCTGTAACACTGCACACTTAA